ATGATGACGTTTTGACATGAGAACATTTTTAGTTTTACATGAGTGTAAAATGAATGAAAGGGCTCAAACCTTTTACATAAATACACAATCTATAATATAAAGTTCTTGGCTGAGGTAGATCTTCAAAACACTGCAGATTCATATCAATATCATGTCATATTCCACTACTTGTTGCTTTTAGCAAACAGAACAAAAACGACTTGTGCCTGTAAAGGTTTTGAAGTCATCCTTGAACTTTAAATGTACATTTCAAAATGGTTTTGTTGTAGGAAATAAAACCCCAGTCAAATAGCCAGAAGACAAAGAGCAGGCAGAAGAAGAGTTGCTTTTCTTCTAAATGTCCAGGGTAATATGCTCTACTGTTGAATCATTTTGTGTGTTAAAAGGAGCTATCCCTGAGTGCTCGGAGAAGTGTGCGGATTCTGGGAAACATTCCAGTGAGCGAGAGGAAGACACAGAATCAAACCTCCCTCATACTGACACATTTGGACCCGTGGGAGGTTCACCTACAACTGATAGATAGATAGATAGATAGATAGATAGATAGATAGATAGAGAGATAGATGGTTATAGGGTGATTCTCCTGGTTTAAGAACTATGGACAGCGCCAATATATTTTCTTGACTTTTTGTCTCAGGTCACACATAAGTTACACGCTTTGGGGGGAAAAATAATAATAAAAAAATCAGTACCACATTATCTTGCCTTGTTACGTCAAAATCGACACGATACTAACAATAAAAACTAACATATTTCTAAATCTGTAACTAATCCAGTACTGTGTTGCTAACACCCATCACATTCTGTAGTTGATGTTGTCATTGATGATGCTTCCTTCTCTGATCACAAACCCATTCTTTTTAAGGTTCCTGCTATAACCTCTGCTACTGTGAATAAGCCTGCTGGTTTTTATTCTCGTTTTATAAACTCACTGACTGTTTCTCAGTTCAATGAAGATTATCTAGCTAATGCTGTTGAAAAATCTATCTTGCATGCTGCAAAGGCGTCCTATGGGCCTGACGATTTGATTTCTCTGTTTTACACAGATTGTTCTAATATCTTAGATTCTATTGCTCCTTTTAAAATGAAACAACCAAAGATAAAAGCTTATTACTGGTTGGATGACAACGCTCGCTATCTTAGACAGGCGTGCCGTAAAGCAGAGAGGAGATGGAAGCATGATCGTCTGACTGTGTCTTTTGAGATTTTTAAAGAGTGTCTGGTTAAGTTTCAGAGTGCTGCTAAGTCAGCTAGATCAAAATATTTTTCAGATATGATTACTGCACACTGTCATAGACCTAGGATCTTATTCTCCACAATAAATTCAGTAATTAATCCGAATTCCCAGTTTTCTAGGGAGCCGTCAGCAGGGCTCTGTGAGAAATTTTTGACATTTTTTGTTGACAAAGTGAGAGCCATTCGCTTATCTTTTACTTCACAGCTTTCAGACCTGTCTTTGAACTCGCCTGCTAGTCCATTTTCATTTTGTCATTTTCAACATGTCTCTTTAATGGAACTTTCCGATCTCGTTAACAAAATGAAGTCTACTAACTCCTCACTGGATGTTGTTCCTTCTGAGATCATAAAAGCAGCTTTTCCAGTAATTGGCCCCAGTGTCCAAGTGTTGATTAACTCATCTTTGGACACTGGTGTGGTTCCGAACTGCTTTAAGCATGCGGTTGTTCAGCCTTTGCTTAAGAAGCAAGGTTTGGATGAAAGTTGCTTTAACAATTTTCGGCCTGTCTCAAAGTTATCATTTTTGTCAAAGCTTTTGGAAAAAGTTGTGCAATTACAGCTGATCACATTCTTAAATACAGCTAATTTATTAGAACCTTTTCAATCTGGTTTCACTGCTTATCACAGTACGGAGTCTGCTTTACTTAAAGTGTTCAATGATATTTTGGTTGCAGTTGATGCCGGTAAAAATGCGGTATTGATTCTACTGGATCTTACAGCTGCCTTTGATACCGTGAATCATAATGTTCTTATTTGCCGTTTAGAACATCTGATCGGTATCAGGGGCACAGCCTTACGATGGTTCAGCTCATATCTCAAAGACAGGTCTTTTTCTGTGGAGCTAGGCAAGTTTTCCTCATCATCTGCCCCAATTATTAGTGGAGTACCTCAGGGCTCTATTTTGGGGCCGCTTCTTTTTAACTTATATATGCGCCCTCTGGGGGATATTATCAGGAAGCACAATGTTTCGTTTCATTTATATGCTGATGATATGCAGTTGTACCTCCCACTAAAAGCTGGTGATTCCATTCAGCCATTGCTGGAATGTATCTCAGATATTAAAAAATGGTTAACAAATAACTTTCTCCAACTCAATGAGAACAAAACAGAAATTATTGTTTTTGGTCCCCAAAAAATGAGAATGGATATTATTGAGGAGCTGGGCAATCATTTCCCCTCCATTTTCTCACAGGTTAGAAACCTGGGCGTTATCATAGACTCAGAATTATGTTTGTCCAAACAAATTGGCGTGCCGTAAAGCAGAGAGGAGATGGAAGCATGATCGTCTGACTGTATCTCTTGAGATTTTTAAAGAGTGTCTGGTTAAGTTTCAGATCGCTGCTAAGTCAGCTAGATCATAATATTTTTCAGAACTGAATAGCGCACACTGTCATAGACCTAGGGTTTTATTCTCCACAATAAATTTAGTAATTAATCCGAATTCCCAGTTTTCTAGGGAGCCGTCAGCAGGGCTCTGTGAGAAGTTTTTGACATTTTTTGTTGACAAAGTGAGAGCCATTCGCTTATCTTTTACTTCACAGCTTTCAGAACCTGTCTTTGAACTCGCCTGCTAGTCCATTTTTATTTTGTCATTTTCAACATGTCTCTTTAATGGAACTTTCCGATCTCGTTAACAAAATGAAGTCTACTAACTCCTCACTGGATGTTGTTCCTTCTGAGATCATAAAAGCAGCTTTTCTAGTAATTGGCCCCAGTGTCCAAGTGGTGATTAACTCATCTTTGGACACTGGTGTGGTTCCGAACTGCTTTAAGCATGCGGTTGTTCAGCCTTTGCTTAAGAAGCAAGGTTTGGATGAAAGTTGCTTTAACAATTTTCGGCCTGTCTCAAAGTTATCATTTTTGTCAAAGCTTTTGGAAAAAGTTGTGCAATTACAGCTGATCACATTCTTAAATACAGCTAATTTATTAGAACCTTTTCAATCTGGTTTCACTGCTTATCACAGTACGGAGTCTGCTTTACTTAAAGTGTTCAATGATATTTTGGTTGCAGTTGATGCCGGTAAAAATGCGGTATTGATTCTACTGGATCTTACAGCTGCCTTTGATACCGTGAATCATAATGTTCTTATTTGCCGTTTAGAACATCTGATCGGTATCAGGGGCACAGCCTTACGATGGTTCAGCTCATATCTCAAAGACAGGTCTTTTTCTGTGGAGCTAGGCAAGTTTTCCTCATCATCTGCCCCAATTATTAGTGGAGTACCTCAGGGCTCTATTTTGGGGCCGCTTCTTTTTAACTTATATATGCGCCCTCTGGGGGATATTATCAGGAAGCACAATGTTTCGTTTCATTTATATGCTGATGATAACTGTAATTCACTGTACTCAGGTCTTCCTCAGTCATCGCTTTCACGCCTCCAGTTGGTACAAAATGCAGCTGCAAGGCTGCTGACTGGGGCAAAGAAATATGACCATGTCACTCCAATTTTAGCTTCGCTTCACTGGCTTCCGGTCCATTTTAGAGTTCAGTTTAAGATTCTGCTGTTTGTTTTTAAAGCTCTAAACAATCAAGCTCCATCTTATCTTAAAGATCTTACTATCCCTTTGTCATCTACCAGACTTTTAAGATCCACTGACAGGGCTCTTTTATCTGTCCCTCATTCCCGTTTGAAAACTAAGGGTGACAGAGCCTTTTCAGTCACTGCCCCCCATCTGTGGAACCAATTGCCTCTAAACTGTCGCCTTGCACCTTCCATTACCATTTTTAAATCGAGGTTGAAAACGTATCATTTAGCATTTTAATTTCATTTAATTGTTGTGTTATTGTCTATCTTTTTTTTTTATTCTTTTCTGTGTTTCCTTTTCTCTTTTAATTTTATTTTACATTGTTAAGCACTTTGGATAGCTTTGCTATGTTGAAATGTGCTATATAAATAAAATTTACTTACACATGCTGAAGAAATAATAATAACCCAAATTCCACCACACCCCAAATTACCTAATGCAACATTGGGGTCTGCAACATCGAGAGGATTTGCATAATGAAGAAGACCCCGCTGCGCTCCAAATGTCAATCAGAGTGACGTTGGTGCGTGTCCTTTCACCTTTATGAAGGTGGGGGCTCGTGCTCTTATTGACATTCTTAATGTAAGTCCGCGCCTTTGCCATAAGCGTGCATTCCAAGCACGTCAGAGACAACCAACGCAGCACATACAGCCCTTTATTGATAACATTTCAACAAGATTTGCGTATTGGCAGGGAGCGAATTATGAAGGGTGATCTGACTCAGCTAATTAAAGTTTCAACACCCCTACGGAGGTCAAAACAAATCACTGGGGGACATAATCGTTTTAACGGGGTTGTTTCAGAAATAAACATGAATCACTGCAACAAAACGCTGATAAGTATCGGATATTACATCCACAAAACTAAAGTATGCTATCATTATCACTTTAGTATAGATTTAGATATCAAATTATCGCAAAAAAACGTGATAGCTTGGTGAGAGGGCTGTTGCGCGAGATGAACTTCAACAGATTGCGTCCAGAAATTGTTTTAAAAAGCTGACCTCGTTGAAGGTCATTGTATAATTCGGATTCTGCGTAACCTACAGGTTGCATGGTTTGTGTAAGACTGATTTCTCATGCATTGCTCTCGCCATGATGAACTGTTAATGCATATGCTCCCTCGCGTGTGTAATGAAATGAATGCAACAAATGTCAGGGAGGGGTTTCATTTTAGGTTGCGCGTTCCCACACCCCTCCCCTAAACGGTGGGCATCGGTGACGCGCGTCTGGGGTTCATGTTTATGTCTGTCAGGTTTCCGATTGGGCGCCGTGTGGATGTGTGATGAGCATCCGCGCGCCGTGGGCGGGAACAGTCGTGTTTATAAACCACAGTACGCGCGCCGTGGACGGGAAGACTGGATCGTAGCGATTCGAAAGCGAGAGGGCGCGCGGCAGCGGCGGGCGGCTCTGGCAGACTGGAGCTTGTGGAGGAGGCGCGGCTTCCACTGCCCCTCCACCGAAGCAGCTGTATGGACGACCACCTTAGCCTCCTCCACTCGCCTCCGCCTTCCTCAAGCAAGCACCGGGGCAACAACCTCGTGAACCACGGCTACACCGAAAACGAGCAAGACATCATGACAATTGTTGCTTGCGACAACATGCTGGAGGAGTCGGCGGCGCTGCACGGACACCACTCGCTGGAGCGCTACGAGCCAGACCACGAGTGCTGCGAGAGAGTGGTCATCAATATTTCGGGCTTGCGCTTCGAGACACAGCTCAAAACCCTGTCCCAGTTCCCCGAGACTTTACTTGGCGACCCCAAGAAGAGAATGCGCTACTTTGACCCACTCAGAAACGAGTATTTCTTTGACAGGAATCGGCCGAGCTTCGATGCCATTTTATATTACTACCAGTCCGGGGGGCGTATTCGGAGACCCGTGAACGTTCCTATTGACATTTTCTCCGAGGAGATACGCTTCTATGAGCTCGGGGAGGAGGCCATGGAGAAATTTCGAGATGATGAGGGCTTTATAAAGGATGAGGTGCGTCCGTTGCCCTCTAATGAATTTCAGCGACAGGTGTGGTTGCTGTTTGAGTACCCGGAGAGCTCGGGTCCGGCCAGGGGCATCGCGATCGTCTCGGTGCTGGTCATTTTGATATCCATAGTTATCTTTTGTCTGGAAACGTTACCCGAGTTCCGAGACGACAGAGACCTGACGACGGTCGCCCCACTTCTGAACGTAACTAACCCTTACCTCACGAGTCCCTTCTCTGACCCGTTCTTTGTCGTTGAGACTCTGTGCATCATCTGGTTCTCGTTCGAACTGCTCGTCAGGTTCTTCGCCTGCCCGAGCAAAGCCACGTTCTCCAAGAACATCATGAACATTATTGACATCGTGGCCATCATACCCTATTTCATCACTTTGGGGACCGAACTCGCGGAAAGGCAAGGCAACGGCCAGCAGGCGATGTCCTTGGCCATTCTCCGGGTCATCAGACTAGTCCGCGTGTTTCGGATTTTCAAACTCTCGCGGCACTCGAAAGGGCTCCAGATTTTGGGGCAAACGCTCAAAGCCAGCATGCGAGAGCTGGGCTTGCTGATCTTCTTTCTCTTCATCGGGGTCATTTTATTCTCGAGCGCCGTCTACTTCGCCGAGGCGGATGATCCCGACTCGGGCTTCAACAGCATCCCTGATGCGTTCTGGTGGGCGGTGGTAACCATGACGACCGTGGGATACGGCGACATGCACCCGGTCACCATAGGGGGCAAAATCGTCGGCTCCCTGTGTGCTATTGCGGGCGTGCTAACCATCGCGTTGCCAGTGCCAGTCATCGTGTCCAATTTCAACTACTTTTACCACAGAGAGACTGAGGGAGAGGAGCAGGCGCAGTACCTCCACATCGGCAGCTGCCAGCCTTTGTCCTCCTCCGAGGAGCCGAAGAAGACGCGGAGCACTTCTTCGCTCAGCAAGTCGGAGTACATGGTCATTGAGGAGGGCATCAACAGCGCCTTCAAGCAGCCCAACTTCCCCGCTCAGAACAACGAGAACTGCGTGAACATTAAAAAGATGTTCACGGACGTGTAGGCTTCTAGACGCGTGTCCGCGTGATGATGGCAACGCTAGGTTCATGTCATGACAGTCAAGTGCTGCTGAGTGTGTCGCCCTCCATTTCCACGACGCAGAGGAAATGGTTACATGTCTAACGCGCCAGTCCCATGCAGTGTTCATCACCTGTTTGACTGAACCATTTCACTGTGAGGAGGAAGCCGCTATGGGCTTTCAGTCCGTTTGCTTTAGGGTACGTTCATTCATATAGGCAATATGTGACATCAGTGTGGCAAGCCGCTTTAACATTTATTCGTTAAAACTAACTAGCATCTGTTTTTATTTTATTAGTATTTTTGATTACGAGTAGCCTAAGTAATTCAGTAGTACGGTTTTCAGTTGCTATTGTAACTTTTTGTTTTCAGATATAAAAAAATGAAAAATGTACTGGTAATTTTCTGCCAGGATATTATCATTAAATTTTTTACATGCATTTCCTTTAACCCTAAAACACAAAGCAATGAAGTGCAAAATTCAAAATACAGGTAAAACACCTGTAAAAAAAAATAAATACAGAAAATTCCTTCATATTAATACAGTGCATCATGCCCTATTTTTACAGTTTGTTTAACACTGTAGTACTTCTATTCAAGTAGTCCCTCCAAATCCCACACTGGGAAAAAATGGTGTAGGATTTACTTTGGAAAAAGAAAATCACTCTAAAAGGTCTAATTACAAGAAACATTTATTTAAACATGACATTTTCTTGATTTTATTATTATTATTATTATTATTATTATTATTTTGTGCAGTGCAGTAGTGATTTATTTCGTTGTTACTGGTAACAAACCTTTTGTCATTGAATTCTGTCAGGTTAATATATGAACTGTTCACTTCAGACTAGCATGCACTAGTAACATTTTTAATCTTACTTTAACTATACAGCCATTCTGATTAGTCGTTACATTTGACAAATTAAAAAAGCAATTTTATCTAATGATATACTGTAAGAAATGTTACTTACTGTTGGCATATATATGTGTGCCTCATAAATAAGTAATAGTATCTAACAAAGGTGTACTAGTAAAAACTGGAATAAATGCAGCAACAATTAGAAATATATTATTGGAAGGGAGCTGTTAATATCTGTGCCACAAATCCCCATAAAATTAAAGTCAAGTTATACTTGTTACTTCAGGAATGGTAACAGGTAGCAAAGGTACTAGTATCTAATGAGTAGTTTACTAGTGAAATCGAAAAGACACCAGTCACTACTGAATGACTTACTCATAATAAAAATGTAACATTAACATAAAAATAGTTTAAGGTAAATGTTAATACGGCTTGCCACAAAATCAGTATTTCGTCGATGACAAGTTAATAGCTATTCTATACAAATGAACTCATTGCATCGCATAATCTACTTTGACATAATGCCTTTGACTTAGTCCAGTTTCTTCGCACCAGAATAGGGAGGGAAGCGCTTATTATAATGAAAGAAGAGGTAGCCTATTTAAAGGTATTGTGTTTATTCTTACATTTTGGACAAGCGTCACTCAGATAACATATCACTTGTTGGAACAAGTGTCTTAAATGACTAATTTGTGTGCTTCTATTGTGTGTTGTTGTCTCGTCGAGACCGTTCCATAGCAACCAGTGAAAGATGCAAAAGATGCTATATGTCAACTTTTTTTTCAGTTTGAGCTACTATTCATGCAGCGTTCAAAGATCTAATAATTCAAATCTAAAATTGTTCAGATTCAAGCACAAATTCAGAGACTTACTAATGTGTACAGATCACTGAAGACAAGTGGGAGGGGAAAGATCAGAGACTGAAAGCACTTTGACTGGATACTTCTAATCACCTTGGAGTGATGCAGTCTCCATAGCGACGATAGGTTCCTCGGTAACACGCTTTTGTTGCCATGGCATCTTTTTTTTAATTTTTTTTGGTTCCCTCAGTAATCTGCCATAATGTTTTGAAGTCTGGCTGAAGATTCGCTGTCTGGCTGGATTTTGTAAACTGGTGAAAATGGATTTTCCCATCTAACCAGAGGGCCATAACAACTGCAACAACAACATGAACAAACAGAGAACTCCAGCAATGTTCTGGAGTATCTTCAAAAGACCTCAAACTATTAAGCCACACTCTGGGATAAAGTGCAATACATGTGAAAGTTCCGTCACTGAATTGTTCTAGCACAAAACAAGCACAGTGAAAATGAATGGGTGTGATACACTGATCATTCACGAGGGGCTGCTGTATCTTCGCCAAACGCTTGGAGTATTCCGCCATCTCTATTCTCCCATAGGATAGACATCCCGCCAAGTCATAAGGAACAGGTGAATCCTACACCACATAGATTATTATTAGTCATATTAATTCACAGTAATTTTTAGGTCATAATTAGCCTAATTATGTCAAGTACTGACCATAATGTTGGTTTGTTAGCCTACTGCATGTATGAGTTTAGTTTAGTCTTGCATGGGCTTCTTAGCATTTCTCATCATTTATTTTTTACACAAACACTGGTGGTCTCCATTTGTAGCATTTTAAAGACTTTTAAGACATGAAATGCAAAGCTGGTGAGGCTATTAGTTAAAGTATGGCATTAAGCACTAACTAAGTGCCTTTTAAATGCTGTTTCATCCAAACATGGGCTGTAGGAGAGAAAGCTGCCCCATCTAAGCTCACCTTGATTTGACATTGATTTGAAAAGTGTCAGTGATGTCACGACTATCGCAGTGCTGCCACCTTGTGGCTCAGAACAAAACAGTGGCCTTAACTGCATCATGACAGTCCATTCTGAGCAACGTTTTAATATTTAAATAATATTATAAAATATAAAATCTGTGGTTCTTAGCAGTGCTATTTTAGTATATTTGATATACTATTATAACTTTATATATTTTGAATTAGTTTTAATTTTATATTTTCCGTTTTCATTTGAATTTGATTTAAATTTAACAGTATATACAGTATATGGTAATACAGCTCTTTTTTATTCCGTTAAACTAAATTATATTATATATAATTATATGATATTATTATATTATAAATATTGCCTTTGCAACTACATATATATATATATATATATATACAGAATATGAAAAAATATTTATAAATATATTTACAAATTTTATAATGACCTTTATAACAATCCCATTTTATAATATTTATTTTATTTTTAGTTATTTTAGTATATCAAGTTAAACTAAATAAAACCATTATAAAAAATGGCCTTGGCAGCTAGTTAGCACTTATTTTATTTCAAGTAAGTAAACTTTTTTATACTGTACTATAATATTTATTTATTTATATTTAATTTTACATTAACAAATATATTTAAATATATTTGTTTTTAATATATTAAAAAAACTATTATTTTTATTAACTCATATTAACAGTGCCATTTTCATTAATGATTGCTTGTCTAATGCTACGCTAGGCGTGTGAATTGCCTTTTTGAAAATCAAATTGAAAAATGCATAGTAAGCTGTTGCACTTAAATTCTGACATACAGCATCACATTAAAATCTCTCAGTCAGCATGTAAAAGATGTCATATCTATGGTCATTCCTACTGGCCCGGTTTACTTGTTAGTCTTTTTAGTCGAGTGGCCTGTTCTTTCTGATACAGCAGAACAAGCAAGCTCAGGATGAAAAAAAAAATGTGTGAATCTCTAAAACGCCATTTCATCAAATTTAAATATCCGACACTTTCTGAGCTAAAATGAAAAGAGACTCGAGAATACAATAAACGCTTGTGAGGCCCGTCCTCTAGATTTCATTCATGACCCAAAAGCATTGTGTTTCAATGCAGAGAGCCACGCAAACAGCCATCCATCTGATCTTCTGCAACATTGCGCATGTCATTGCAAGGAATCTAGGACAAGCTGTGTTTCTTGGGGAGCATTAGAGAGCTCTTCTGCACGGCTGCATCCACAAGCAGCTCCTGTCTGGCTTCTTCTATAGTGGCTACTTGTCATTTGTGCCAATCTCATGCTGTCTGCACATACTTTGCCCTCTTCTCTGGACATTAGTGTGTCCTGTGTGACTCTCATATTCGACTAGTTTAGCTTCAGAGCCATTTCTGTGCTTTTAAAAGGCTTTGCTGATTTCACCTTCCACGTTGCATAATAGACCTAAATGAAAGTCCTCCTCTTGGACCACATTCACTTCCTTTTTTTGGGTCAGTTTGAACGATCGCGAAGAAATAATGTGAGAGTTAGATTCACACTCTATTGCTGACACAGTTTTGATAGTTTGATAAAATGCAAGTGTCGTTTATTACTTTCACTCATATAAGTAGGGCACCATTTGTGCTCCACACGTGAATGACGAACGCCTCAAATCATGTGGCTTGTTGAGGAAAGGTGTGCGGTTACAATTCTTAGTCATCAGGATTTTTGTATGACGCTCTGCTCAATATAGGGGCAGTTGTTTCCCAAAGGTTGTGGGTTCGAGTCTCAGTAGCGGCAGGGATTGTCGGTGGGGGGAGTGAATGACCAGCTCTCTCTTCCACCTTCATTACCACGACTGAGGTGAGACCCTTGAGCAAGGCACCAAACCCCCAACTTCGTTGGTGTGTGTGTTCACTGCTGTGTGTCATGGGACACCATATTTGACTACATGTCATGTCACACTTTTATATTCCACTCTATGAATATGCGTTCCGCTCATGTACCGCTCATGCTCACTGGAAAAGTAAAGTCTGCTCAAATAACTGCTCACATGCTCTGATAGCTTTGTAGGACTATGCATTATTTGTAGGGATGCACGATATATCGGCCACCATATCGGTATCGGCCGATAAATGCTAATTTCTCCTGTTATCGGTATCGGCCCGATTAGAAAATTTGGCCGATATCTTAAAGCCGATAAATAATGCATTATTTCCTTCAGAGACACTTCAGATGCGCGCTGTTCATTTGCAGCCTTTTGTGCAATTGTACGATGTAGTCAAAAAAAAAAAAAAACAGTTAGGCCTATATCTGATTCTGTTGAATAATAATATATTGTAATTTAATATTAATATATTTTCTGTCTAACTTTATTGTGTTACTTTCAATAAAGGTGTGGTTATTTTATTGGCTTGTGTTTTTTAAATGCATTAAAATTATTGCGTTAAATTAAAAAAGTCTTACAAAATTAGTTTAAGTTATTTAATAAAATAATAAATAATTATTACAAAGCATTTTCATTTCGGTTTTCGATCAAGTGCATCCAGAATTTCCAGAACATCCAGAATCTCACCACTTGTCAAGTAATATCACACAATTGAATTTATTTCTCACAATTGTAACTTTCCTTTTTTATAATTGTCACTTTATATCTCAAAATGTGATTCTATTCTATTCTATTCTATTCTAAAATATTAAATCACACTGTGAGCTTTATTATTATTATTATTGTTATTATGCTTTAGAATTTTATTTCTCAGAATATATGTGACTACTCACAATGTATATTATATTCTAAAATATTAAATCACATTTTGAGCTTTATTATTACACTTAGGAATTTTATTTTTGTAGAATATATGTGACTATTTCTTACAATGGCAACTTTATTTTCTTTATAATTGTGACTTTATATCAGCTATGGCAGTGAGTTTTGTACAGACATGCACTGCAAGAATTTATTTATTTATTTTATTTTATTTTTTAAGAATATATATATATATATATTTTTTTTTAGAGATTATACCAGTATCTGTGCCTTTGAATATCAGTAATGAGCATGCCTGATTATTACAATTAATTAATTAATTAATTTAATTATTAATTAATTTAATTAATCATTCATTCATTCATCTAATCCTGTTTCTTCTCCCATTCTTTTCCACAGCAGTGAGGAAGGAGACAGAAGCGGATGAAGCTTTAAAGGAGTTTAATCTCTGGAGGCCGGATTGCCTGTGTGGACCCCAGCTTGCCAAACGTAGGGGCTCGTGGACTGTTCCCTTCTCCTCCACACTTCTGAGAGGAGGTGCCTTCAAAAAATAAATAAAATCCCCCTCGTCCAGCCTCCGGGCCCTGATTTCCCCCTGGCTAGACAGCCCCAGCGCACCACTTGCCTTTTCTATGTTCAGTATTCTGTCTTTTTACCAAAAGAAGATGGACTCCTGTGTTGATGTGCTGTTTCTGCTGCTAAATGTAAGACTGTAAACTCCACATAAGTGCTCCTACACGCTCCCACCGCCGTAGCCCAGCAGTGTGGAGGGCAGTGCTAGTTATGCTAGCTCCATCAGTTGTCATGTGTCGTCAGGCTGTGATGTCGTCTTTGACGTTGCTCTATAAACTGATCATCATAAACGTGATGCCTCCTTGTCATTTTTGAGTGGCGTTGGTTACTCGTGTCTTTCTCTGGTCCCATCTGTCCGTGTGTCACATGCCAACTTCTATCATTCTAATGGCCGTTATTTACATGTGGAATCCTTTCGTCACATGGCATTCATCACACGGAGGCTGTTGTGTTGATGCAATGTCTGAAATACTGCATCAAGTACAAGTAAGCAATAAAGTACAAGAGGCCGTGCTATATTGTGAATTTTGTGTTTTTAAGGGCTGTTCATTCACAAGACACATTGTTTTTTATATGTATCTATTTTTTAGCCATTGGTCCCAAGTGGATGTCTTTGGGTCAGGTCTGGCTGGTTAGTTTTAGCAGGTAGATGCTGTGATGTACCATATGAAAGCCTGTTCCTGCCTCAGAGTAATTGTGACTCACGATTGCAAACTTAAAATCCATAACAATTACAATTGTGACTGTATCAAAATTCCAGCCTTATATTTTATAATTGTGATGTTTTTCTTGTAAATGTGACTTTTTTAATACTTTGACAACTGAGTTAATTTCTCACAATGTGACTTTAAATCTTACAATTGTGATTCAGTATCTCACAATCTGACTTCATGTTTTACAATCTGACTTTATATCTCACAAATGTGAATTTATATATCATAATGATATTGTTACTATATCACAATCAGTGTTGGGGAGTAACTATTGTAATCCGTTACAGTTACTGAGAAAAAATGTGCAACTGAATTACAGTTGCTTGCGAAAATGTTAACGACTACAAAGGGGTCACATCTGAATATATATATATATATATAATTTTTTTTACACACACACACACACACATACATGCAGATTTAATTGATTTCTATCCCAAATTGCATTGACTGCTCTAAAATATGAGACACCAATATTTCAGGAGTTTGGGACACAGTTATCGACACATGATTGTTCGATAACTGTTTTATTTCCTATTTGGGTTTATGCATATTTTTTAAGATTAACTGTTTTTTTGCCAGTGTTTTCTGTTAAAACTAAGCAACTATTTAATTTCAATATCAGCATCATAGCTATTAAACTATTTCTTGTTATGATCTGAAACCTGTATTTAACCTCAGAATGATCTCAAAGTCAAACAAAGTGCTAAAGTCTGATTTTGTGGTGGCTGTGCTTTAAAATTAAATTATTATAATCTTAATTCAAGTGATGAAGGATTCTGACAGTAATCGGTGTTAAATACTACTGTAAGGTTAAACCCTGCCTGCTTTACATGTTTGAAAATGATTAACAGTTGAAAACATTAGAAATGCATAAAAGTAATCCAGAAAGTAATCAGTTACATCACTTTAATAAAGTAATTGAATAGTTACACTACTTATTACATTTTAGATAAAGTAACTTGTAATCTGTAACCTGTTACATTTCCAAAGTAACCTTCCCAACACTGCGCACACACACACACACACACACAGCATCTTTACCTTGGTAACAAAGTCCTGGTAGCCGGGGTAGTATGTGGTGACGATGGAGAAGATGTACCAGTCGTACTCCTCCATGATGTTGAGCATGACAGACGCCTGCTGCTCGATGGAGGGTCCGAACTGAAAGAACATGGAGTTATCGTCCTGCAGAGAGACATACAGGAGTCGTGTGAGTGTGTGTGAAAATCAGGATTGTTTATATCATCACTGAATGTACCTATATTATCATCCAGCACTAATCAGCTAAATGCATTATATTATAAACATTAACTGTAAAGCTTCTTTGAAACCGTGAGCACAGCAGTGAGGAAGGAGACAGAAGCGGATGAAGCTTTAAAGGAGTTTAATCTCTGGAGGCCGGATTGCCTGTGTGGACCCCAGCTTGCCAAACGTAGGGGCTCGTGGACTGTTCCCTTCTCCTCCACACTTCTGAGAGGAGGTGCCTTCAAAAAATAAATAAAATCCCCCTCGTCCAGCCTCCGGGCCCTGATTTCCCCCTGGCTAGACAGCCCCAGCGCACCACTTGCCTTTTCTATGTTCAGTATTCTGTCTTTTTACCAAAAGAAGATGGACTCCTGTGTTGATGTGCTGTTTCTGCTGCTAAATGTAAGACTGTAAACTCCACATAAGTGCTCCTACACGCTCCCACCGCCGTAGCCCAGCAGTGTGGAGGGCAGTGCTAGTTATGCTAGCTCCATCAGTTGTCATGTGTCGTCAGGCTGTGATGTCGTCTTTGACGTTGCTCTATAAACTGATCATCATAAACGTGATGCCTCCTTGTCATTTTTGAGTGGCGTTGGTTACTCGTGTCTTTCTCTGGTCCCATCTGTCCGTGTGTCACATGCCAACTTCTATCATTCTAATGGCCGTTATTTACATGTGGAATCCTTTCGTCACATGGCATTCATCACACGGAGGCTGTTGTGTTGATGCAATGTCTGAAATACTGCATCAAGTACAAGTAAGCAATAAAGTACAAGAGGCCGTGCTATATTGTGAATTTTGTGTTTTTAAGGGCTGTTCATTCACAAGACACATTGTTTTTTATATGTATCTATTTTTTAGCCATTGGTCCCAAGTGGATGTCTTTGGGTCAGGTCTGGCTGGTTAGTTTTAGCAGGTAGATGCTGTGATGTACCATATGAAAGCCTGTTCCTGCCTCAGAGTAATTGTGACTCACGATTGCAAACTTAAAATCCATAACAATTACAATTGTGACTGTATCAAAATTCCAGCCTTATATTTTATAATTGTGATGTTTTTCTTGTAAATGTGACTTTTTTAATACTTTGACAACTGAGTTAATTTCTCACAATGTGACTTTAAATCTTACAATTGTGATTCAGTATCTCACAATCTGACTTCATGTTTTACAATCTGACTTTATATCTCACAAATGTGAATTTATATATCATAATGATATTGTTACTATATCACAATCAGTGTTGGGGAGTAACTATTGTAATCCGTTACAGTTACTGAGAAAAAATGTGCAACTGAATTACAGTTGCTTGCGAAAATGTTAACGACTACAAAGGGGTCACATCTGAATATATATATATATATATAATTTTTTTTACACACACACACACACACATACATGCAGATTTAATTGATTTCTATCCCAAATTGCATTGACTGCTCTAAAATATGAGACACCAATATTTCAGGAGTGAATGCTCCTGCTTATCTGATAACTGTTTTATTTCCTATTTGGGTTTATGAATATGCTGTATATTTTAAGATGAACTGTTTTTTTCCGAGGCATTGTTAGATTCCAGTGTCTCCTGTCACAGCTATGCAAAGATTTGACGTCAAAAACAGTGTGTTAGCTATGAAACTATTTCTTATTATGATTTTAAATCTGTATTAGAATGATCTCAAAGTAAAAAGAGGTGCTAAAGTCTGATTTTGTGATGACTGTGCTTTAAAATTGAATTATTATAATCTTAATTCACATGATGAATGATTCTGATAGTCTGACAGTAATCAGTGTTGAGCACTACTGTGAGGTTAACCCTACCTGCTTTAAATGTTTCAAAATGAGTAACAGTTGAACACATTCGCTGGAAAAGTAATCAGATGTAATCAGTTACATTACTGTAACGGGGCTGACGAGACGTGAGACGTGTGGATCCATCTGCAGGCTTATCTTGTAATTTGGAACCAATTTCATTTCCAAAGTAACCTTCCCAACACTGATCACAACAGCGATCATTATTTTACAAAATTTACAACATTTTTCTTGTAAATGTCTCTTTATGTCTCACAATTTGACTACAACTTAAAATTGTTTTAGTATCTCACAATTGCAACTTAAAACACAATTTTGACTTTATCTCACAATTTGACTACAGTGTCACAATAGCAGATTTATATTTTGCAAATGTAAGTCTTGTAAATGTGACTTTAGTTCTCATAATTGTGATTTTCTATCTTATAATTTCACTTTATATCTTATATGTGTGAGTATATTTCTCCACAGTTGAGTATAAATCTCACAGTTGCAACTGAATATCTCACAATTCTGACTTTGTCACAAATGTGAATTAACATCGTATAATGACATTGTTATATCAAAACAGCAGCTTTATATTTTAAAACTGTTTTTCTTGTAGATGCGACCTTATTTCTCATCATTTTGACTTGATATCTCACAATCTGACTTTACAGTATATCTAACAATTGTGAATTTACATATCATATTGATATTGTGTCAATATCACAAAAGTGACTTTATATTTTACAGTTGTGACTTTATTGATCATAAATATTTTCTTACTTTAAACTTTATCTCATAATTACCTTTTCATTTTTTTTTTTTATTCTGAGGCAGAAAGTGCTTTCAGTAACTACATCATGTGGCTGCAAATCTTTTGCAAACATCTTTTCCATTGACAGTCATTCCAAATTAGCTTTGTATTTTAACGATATATATATATATATATATACAGCACAGTGCCTTATTGCTTGTAAAACAGTTACTTCATAGTAGGAATAAGGGCATACATTTTCATTAAAACTCTTTTATATTAAGTAAATTCATTACGTGCATTCCTTCTGCCAGACAAACTGCACAGTGTTAGCGAACAGGTGTTTTGTGTCATAACGGTTATCTGCTTCATTAGAGCAACACGATGCAACTACAGGATGCAAAGCTACACTGATACCCTTAAACGAAAATAGTATTAAAATACAGTAATGTTTGTACTATTTCTTTTTCAGTGTTTTATAGTTCAATGTGCCTTTGAAAAAGCCAGGCGTGCTGCAGTGGCCCAGTTGCACGACCTTCAAATACTGCAGAGAATCTTTAGTTCAAGTGGATACAGTTCTCCAGAGCGTTGTTGTGTTTAGCTCTGTTTCATTTAATTTTGATAGAAAATATTTGTGGATTTATCTGTGACTGATACCTTGTCGCATTCTGGAGTGATATACTCTTAATACTAAATGTGAATAGTGGGGCGCCACCCGTATGCATGCCACTGCACGATATGAGTCACCGAAACTAAATACAGATGAAGACTGCTCACTCATTACTATACACTGGTTATTTTAAAATAACAGGATACAAGTCGAGGAGATAATGCTTTGTGAAGCCCAGAGCTAAACTCAACTAAAATTCAACAAAAAATTAACACTCTGTCATCATTTACTTGCCCTCATGTTGTTCCAAAGCTGTAT